CTCAGCCTCCATGCTCACAGCATGGAGTCTGCTTGGGATTCTCTCTCACCCTCTCTCTCTGCCCCTCCTTCACTTGATGTGTGCATGCACACACTCTCTCTCTCTTTTTCAAAATAAATAAACTTAAAAAAAAAATAGATAATTCTACTATATTAGCTGTTGGCAACTTCAACACTCCCCTATCAGAAATGGAGAGATCTAGCAGGCAGCCAATCAGCAAGGGCATAGTTGAACTCAACACACCATCCATCACCTAGACATAATCAACATCTATAGACTAGTTCATTCAAAAACAGAATACACATTTTTCTCAAGCTCAGATGGAACATTCACCAAGGTAGACTACATTCTAGACCATAAGATACAGCTTAACAAATTTAATAGAAATCATTTTTTAAAAAAGAAAAAAATCATACATTCGCTCTCAGAATATAATGTAATTAAATTAGAAATCAGTAAGAGAAGGATACTTGGAAAATCCCAAAATACATAGAGAGTAAACACACTTCTAAATAACACATAGGTCAAAGAAGAAATCTCAAGAGACCATAAAAAACACTTTTTACTAAATGAAAATGAAAACACCATCTAACAAAATTTGTGGGATGCAGGGAAAGCAGTGCTTAGACGGAAATTTATAACACTGAATGTACATATTAGGAAAGAAGGTCAAAATTTCAATAATCTAAGTTTCCAACTCAAGAAACTAGAAAAAGAGCAAATTAATTTAATGTAAGCAAAAGAAAATAATAAAAGTTGAGCATATCAATAAAATTAAAAACAGGAAATCATCGGGGGGGGGGAAGTATCAACAAAACCAAAGCCAGTTCTTTCAAAAGACCAATAAAATCAATAAGCCTCTAGCAAAGTTAACTAAGAAAAAAAGTTACCAATACCAGAAATGAAAGATGTATCTCACTACAGATCCTATGGACATTAAAAAGATAATGAAGAAATAATGTGAAAAATTCTATGCCCACATATTTGATAACCTAGATGAAATGGACAATTCCTTGAAAGACACAATTGCTAAACTCACAATCTGAATTAGAAATAGATAATCGAAATTATTAAAGAATTTAAATCAATAATAACCTTCCAAAGCAGAAAGCACAATGCGGACATGGGTTCACTGATGTATTCTACCAAACATTTAAGAAAGAAATTGTACCAATTCTCTACAATTTCTTTTAGAGGATAGATGGAGAGGGACACCTGGGTGACACAGTCAGTTAAGTATCTGACTCACAATCTAGGTTCAGGTCATGATCTCACAGTTCGTGAGTTCGAGACCCACACTGGGCTCTGTGCTGATGGAGTGGAGCCTGCTTGGTATTCTGTCTCTCCTTCTCTCTGCCCCTCCTCCCTTGTGTGCACTCTCTCCCTCAAAATAAATAAATAAAATAAAATAAAAAATAGAGGACAGAAGCAGAGAGAATTCTACCTATTTCATTCTGTGAGGCCAGCATTATCCTAATACCAAAACCAAGACAATATTATAAAACAAAAAATACAGACCAATATCCCTCATGAGCAGATGCAAAACCCACAAAAAAATTAGTAAATTGAAACCAACAATGTATAAAAAGTATTCTGCACCACAACTAAATGGGATATATCTCAAGTATGCAAGACTAGTTCAACACTCAAAAATTAATTAACATAATCTAATTAAAATCATTCAATGCAATCCATCACATCAACAGGCTTTTTAAAAAAGCAAAATCACATGATCCTATCAACAAATGCAGAATATGCATCTGACTAAATATAACACTAAATATAACACATTTTTTAATTAATGATAAAAAAAGCTCTCAGTAGAACGGAACTTTCTTGATAGAGTATCTACAAAAAACCTACAGCTAATGTCATACTTAAATAGTGAGAAATGACAAGCTTTCCCACCAAGGTCAGGTACTGACACAGATGTCCTCTTTTACCATTCCTTTTCAACACTATTTTATCCTTCCTTTTCAAAACTATGCTGCAAGTTCTAGCTAATGCAGTAAGACAAGAAAAGGAAATAAATGGAATGCAGATTTGGAAGAGAAAAATAAAACCATATTTGTTCAAGAGTTTCAAAGTTGGGGGCACCTGGATGGCTCAGTCAATTAAGCCATTTCGGCTCAGGTCACCATCTCACCATTCATGGGTTTGAGCCCTGTGTCAGGCTGTGTGCTAATGGTGTGGAGCCTGCTTGGGATTCTCTCTTCCTCTCTCTCTCTCTGCCCCTCCCCTGCTCATGAATGCACGCACACTCCCTCTCTCTCTCTCAGAATAAATAAACTTTGAAGGTAAAATTCTATAGAAAAAAGGAGTTTCCGGGTTGGTGAACACATGGATGTGCTGGGAGAGTACCACACTCTGAGAGGACATGGAAGCTTCCTGCCATTTCCCCATGCCTTGCCCTATGCAGCATTTCCTTTAGCTGTCCTAAGTTATATCCTTTTATAATAAACTAATAATCTATTAAGTAAAAGAAAAAAAAAATACTATTTGCTACATGATAGTCTATGTGGAAAATTCTAAAAAATGAACAAAAAAACTCCTGGAACTTCATAAGTGATTATAGCAAGGTGGTAGGATACAAGGTTAATATATAAAAGTTAATTTCTTTCCTATATACCAGCAATAAACAAATGAAATTTGAAGTTAAAAATAGACTATCATTTACATAAGTACCCATACAATGAAATACTTAGGTTTAAATCTAATAAAATAAATCAAACAAAAATATTTCCAAGATCTATATGAAGTACACTACAAAACTCTCATGAACAAAATCAAAGAACTAAATAATTTTTGTATGTTAAGTAGGCTCCACACCCAATATAGGGCTCAAACTCACAACCCTGAGATCAACAGTCATATGCTCTATCAACTGAGCCAGCCAGACACCTCTCAAAGAACTAAATAAATGGAGAGATATCCCATGAAAGACTCAATATTGTCAAAATGCCAGTTCTTTCCAACTTAATCTATAAATTCATTGCAATCTCAATCAAAATCCCAGCAAGTTAGGGGTGCCTGAGTGGTTCAGCCAGTTAAGTGTCTGACTCTTGATTTCGGTTCAGGTTGTGATCTCACCGTTCGAGGGTTAGAGCCCTAATCAGGCTCTGTGCTGACAGCACTAGTCAGGCTCTGTGCTGACAGCACGAAGCCTGCTTGGATTCTTTCTCTCTCCTCTCTCTGCCCCTACCCTCACCCCCACTCCAAAATAAATTAAAAAAAATTTTTTTAATCCCGGAATGCCGGGGCACCTGGGTAGGTCAGTCGGTTAAGCATCCGACTTCAGCTCAAGGTCATGATCTCACAGTTGGTGGGTTCATGCCCGCGTTGGGCTCTGTGCTGACAGCTCAGAGCTTGGAGCCTGCTTCTGATTCTGTGTTTCCCTCTCTCTATGCCCCTCCCCCACTCATGCTCTGTCTCTCTCTGTCTCAAAAATAAAAATAAACATTAAAAAAAAATTTTTAGGGGCGCCTGGGTGGCTCAGTCGGTTGGGCGTCCGACTTCAGCTCGGGTCACGATCTCGCGGTATGTGAGTTCGAGCCCCGCGTCGGGCTCTGTGCTGACTGCTCAGAGCCTGGAGCCTGTTTCAGATTCTGTGTCTCCCTCTCTCTCTGCCCCTCCCCCATTCATGCTCTGTCTCTCTCTGTCGCAAACATAAATAAACGTTAAAAAAAAAAAAAAAAAAAGGGGCGCCTGGGTGGCGCAGTCGGTTAAGCCTCCGACTTCAGCCAGGTCACGATCTCGCAGTCCGTGAGTTTGAGCCCCGCGTCGGGCTCTGGGGCTGATGGCTCGGAGCCTGGAGCCTGTTTCTGATTCTGTGTCTCCCTCTCTCTCTGCCCCTCCCCCGTTCATGCTCTGTCTCTCTCTGTCCCAAAAATAAATAAACGTTGAAAAAAAAAATTTAAAAAAAAAAAATTTTTTTTAAAAAAATTTTTTTAAAGGCAGTATGGTACTGACGAAGAATATACGAATCAATGGAACAGAATAGGGAGTCAACTGATCTTACACAAAGGAGCAAAGGCAAGATAATGGAGCAAAAATAGTCTTTTCAACAAATGGTGCTAGAACGAATGGACAACCAAATGCAAAACAATGAATCTAGACACAACCTTTACACCCTTCACACAATTAACTCAAAATGGATTACAAATCTAACGTAAAACACAGAACTATAAAACTTGTAGAAGACAACAGGAGAAAACCTAGGTGACCCTGGGAATGGGAATGGTTTTTTAGATATAACACCAAAGACACAATCCATGAAAGAAAAAATTATAAAGTAAACTTCATTAAAATTAAAAACTTCCACTCTGCAAAAGACATCATCAAGAGAATGAGAAGACAAGCCAGAGAAAATACCTGCAAAAGACACTTCTGATAAAGGACTGTTATCCAAAATATGCAAAGAACTCTCAAATTCATCAATAAAAACAAACAACTCTATTAAAAATGGGCCAAAGAGGGGTGCCTGGGTGGCTCAGTCAGTTGGGCGTCCGACTTTGGCTCAGGTCATGATCTCACAGTCTGTGAGTTCAAGCCCCACAGGGGGGCCCTGTGCTGACAGCTCAGAGCCTGGAGCCTGCTTCGGATTCTGTGTCTCCCTCTCTCTCTGCCCCTCCCCCGCTCATGCTCTGTCTCTCTCTCTCTCAAAAATGAATAAATGTTAAAAAAAAAAAGGGGGGGTGCCAAAGATCATAAAATACAGCTCACCAAAGTAATATATAGATAGCAAGAAGCATATGAAAAGATGCTCTACAACATGTCATCAGGGAAAAACAAATTAAAACAACGAGATACCAATACACACCTATTAGAATAGCCAAAATCCAGAACACTGACACTACCAAATGCTTGTGAAGATGTGGAACAACAGTTTTAAGATTATAGTTTCTGATCTATTACTTATTTTACTATGGTAACTGTTTTTTCAAATTATAAATAACTCAACAATACATCAGGGTGTAGGCATTATAAACCAAATCTTGTACCTTTTGGATTCAGGAGGCTGTCTCTTTTTTATCATTTCACGGAGCCTTGCAGCTGACTGCAAAATACACAAAACACACATATAAAGATACTACCTTATAAATTATTAAGTATGCTGCTTTATTGACACTAAAGTAAAATCTATACAGGAAATAAAGTTTCTCAAGATAGGATACCTGCTCTTGGTAAGACAGGAGACAAATATACTATTAATAATAAAGGCAAGTAAATAATACTGTCTAAAGTACTGACATTCTGATACCTTAGACCAAGTTGCTAATGAGTTTACATGATTAAACATTAAACATTTCACCAAATATACTACTGTAAATTAAAAAGTTTAACTTCTACTATAGGCAATCCTACTTTGATATTTTCCAGAAAAGTGATGTTATGCTTCTATAAATTAAAACACAATTTCTGTTAACTAAAGTCAAAATCAGAGATACTGTGTCTAAGTTTCTGATTAATTTTCAACTTTTAATGACTAAACAATTAAGTCCCTTATTTTAAGTCACCCTCCCTTCCCTCAATTTACAAACACATACCAAATGTTTGGGAATGTGCAGTCAGAGAATTCAAATAATAATTTAATAAAGCTAACAGCTTGCTATCTTTTGGAGGAAAATGTCATAGGCCCTCCTAAAGACCCTTCTAAAGAGCTACTCTCAGGGCACCTGGGTGGCTCAGTGGGTTAAGCATCCATTTTGGCTCAGATCATGATCTCCTGGTTCAGATCATGATCTCATGGTTTGTGGGTTTGAGCCCCACATTGGGCTCTGCACTGACAGCTCAGAGCCTATAGCCTGCTTCAGATTCTGTGTCTCCCTCTCTCTCTGCCCCTCCCCGCTCACACTCTATCTCTGTGTCTCAATAAATAAATAATTGTTAAAAAAATTTTTTTTTACTAAAAAATAATAATAATAAAGAGCTATTCTCTCATACACCAAAGTTTTACCCCCAGTGTGAAGACATAATGTAAATTATACCTTTAGTCATGATGATTATAAAACATTAGCATATTATCTTGACCATTTATCCTTAAAGCTCACAGTATACTGGGGCACCTGGGAGGCTCAGTTGGTCAAGCACCTGGCTCTTGATTTCAGCTCAGGTCATGATGGCACCATTCATGGGATCAAGCCCCGTGTTGGGCTCTGTGGGATTCTCTCTCTCACCTCTCTCTCTGCCCCTCGCCTACTTGCGCCTCTTTCTCTAAATAAATAAATAAATAAATAAATAAATAAATAAATAAAACTTTAAAAAAAAAAACTCACTATACACAGCATATTTCCACCTATTCTTAAAGCTAAAGATTTAAAAAAATAAAAATAAAAAGCTTGTCCTTTCACTCCCATACCACACATCCCTCAATTCATTCCTCCTACATCTCCCTTATCCTTTAGGTAAAGCAATCACTCAGAACATACCCTGTTCCTCTGAATCCAAGACAACCACTCATAAGACACCATTATTTTATGTACCAACAACAGTGGTGCAGGGGAGAGAGCTGCCAGTAATAGTTTCCAGATGCCAATTTCAAAAACATTAAAATTTTTTTAAAAAGTCTTAAAATCAATAAAATATGGTAACCACTTCCTATTAAGTGCAAAACTTGCTCCTAATTTTACCCTCCCTTATCTGACACTATGAAACCTGATACTACCAGTATTTTATTGACCTACTGGCAAGAATGGCATCTTGCTTTTAATTAGAAATTCCAAGAGGGCCTGGGTGGCTCAGTCGGTTAAGCATCGGACTTAAGTAGGCATGAGTTTGAGCCTTGCATCGGGCTCTGTGTTGACAGCTTGGAGCCTGGAGCCTGCTTGAGATTCTGTGTCTCCCTCTTTCTCTGCCCCTCCCCTCCTCACACTCCGTTTCTCTCTTTCAAAAATAAAATAAAACATTAAAAAATTTTTAAATAAAAAAAAAATTCCACACAAACCGCAGACAACTGAAGAGAAGCAAAAAAGTTTGCATTTTCTGATATGTTCTTCAGTCTCTTCCTTTCATACGGTGACAATCCTGAAAATTCATCCTATGAAATTACACCAAAAAAATTCTGTTACTTTGCATGATCCATAGCAAAAGCACCTCACAAAACAAGGTGTTGAATTCTCAAATGTATACTTTCCTTCAAATTGTACCTGTTCTATTCATTTCATGCTATCGTACCAAATGGCACATAATCTTTGCTGCATTGGACACTGAGTGTAAGAGTTTGAATTTGGGATAATCAAAGATATCTGTATGGCTTCTCGATTAGATAACAAGTGATATATCAGAAGTCAAGTAGTGTAACTTAATAGCAAATTATTTCCTACTGGGCATTAACTGTACTATTACTCAAAGTTAACTTTTTATTAAACAAAACAAGAAAACACTCAGTAACAGAACATTTTAAATTCACTGAAAGGATTAAGAAAATTTAGAAAAAAAAGAACAATAACAAATGAGATAAACACATGGGAAGAAAAGACAATAAAAAAATAAAGCTTGCAGGTCTGATATCCAACTAATAGTTATAGAGGTAAAAAAAGACGAGCAGAAAAAATGAAAGAGAAAATTATTAGAGATATAAGAAAGTTTCTCAAAACTAAAGACATGTGTTTCCAGATTAAAAGGGCCCAATGAGTATGCAGCACAACAAATGAAAAAAGATCAAAGTCTATACACATTATCACAAAATTTCTTAACACTTGAGATAAGTGAGATTTTAAAAAGTTTGAAAAAAAATCACACAAGAATCAGAATGACACTAACTTCCCAATATCGAGGGGAACTGGAAGACAATAGAAAAGTGTGTTTAAAATTTTAAGGAAAAATTATTTTCAACTTACAATTCTAAATCCAATTAATCCATCAATCAAATGTACAGCATAAAGATTTTTTCAGACATGTAAACTACCTCTCATACACCTTTTCTCAGGAAGCTACTATAAGCAGCATTTCACCAAAATGGAAGAATACTCTAAAAAAAGAAAGACCCAAGACAGAATCCAGGATGCAGAAGTTCCAGTAGAGGAGAGATAAAAGAAATTCAAAGGAAAATGGTAAAAAGAAAGGCTAAAAAAGGGCTAAACTGTCCAGAATGAAGTAGAAAGATGAAGGGACCCAGGATATGTTTCCTGAAAAAAATATATATACATATGAAGCCATTAGAATTCCTTCCTACAACTCTGATAGAGCTTGGGCTGTACCTAATAAGGAGATGAGAAGGGAAAGGAGTGGGTAGGCACATGTGCATAAGGCATAGTGTGAATGAAACAAGTCTTCATCTTCCATGTTAAGTCAACGGATAACATGGAGGGAATAAAAACTAAAACAGCTGAAAGTGCAATTTGGCTATTGGGCAGCAACAATCACAGAGAAGTATGTGGCAGAAAACTGCTGGGTGTTTTGGTTTGTTTCTGAGTATCTGTGTGTGTACATATGGAATTATCTTTGTGTGTGTGTGTATATATATATACATGTATATGTACACATGTGTGGAATTATAAGACTTAAATGTGGATGTACATGTATTACTTGGACCAAAATAAAAAATTTTCCTCATACACACAAAATAACAATGACAGCAAAGGTAAAAGGTTATGTTGTCATCGCCTTTACAACTGCTTTCAGAGAAAAACATCACCATCATCATCATCAAAGGCTTTCTAAGATTCTATTTCAAAATGCTACACACTGAAATCAAAGGAACTCATTTAAATGATTCTACTTACGACAGAAGAAAATTTACTAAGACAAATGATCAGTTTTCTTAAGTGGTATGTGTAATTCAAACTATTCTTACCCATTACCCACCTCTCAAAAACTTACAACATGTAAGAGGAAGACCAATCAAAAAACATCAGGAAAGGGGGCACTCGAAGTAAACATATTATAGGAAAAAGAAGTTAAAAAAAACTCCACTATCTTCAGACACTTAAGATGTTACTGCATCCTGGGGCACCGGGGTGCCTCAATTGGTTAAACATCCAACTCTTGGTTTAAGCTCAAGTCATGATCTCACGGTTCGTGGGCTCGGGCCCCAGACTGGGCTCTGCAATGACAGTGCCAGAGTCTGCTTGAGATTTTCTCTCTCTCTCTGCCCCTCCCTGCTCACTCACTCTCTCTCAAAATAAACATTAAAAAAAAAAAGTTATTGCATCCACAAAACAAGGGATGCCATGTTTAAAAAATAAAAGAAGTGGGGTGCCTAGGTGGTTCAGTCAGTTAAGTGTCCAACTTTGGCTCAGGTCATGATTTCATGGTTCATGAGTTAGAGCCCCACATCGGGCTCCATGTTGGCAGTACTGGGCCTGCTTGGGATTCTCACTCTCTCCTCTCACTCTGCCCCTCCCCCACTCACGTGCACTCCCTCTCTCTTTCAAAATAAAGTTAAAAAAAAATCAGGGGTGCCTGAGTGGCTCAGTCAATCAAGTGACCAACTCTTTGTTTCAGTTCAGGTCACAACCTCACAGTTCGTGAGTTCAAGCCCCACTTTGGGCTCCAAGCTGGCAGTGCAGGGCCCACTTTGGATTCTCTCTCTCTCCTTCTCTCTCTGCCCCTCCCCTACTCATATTCTCTCTTTCTCATAATAAATAAACTTTAAAAAATTATTTAAAAAAAATAATCAAAGAAATAACTTGGATTAAAAGCTTGTGGCACCTAGTTGACTCACTTAGTTAAGCGTCTGACTTCAGTTCAGATCATGGTCTCTCAGTTCCTGAGTTCAAACCCCACATTGGGCTCCACACCAGCAGTGCAGAGCCTGCTTGTGATTCTCTCTCCCCTCTTTCTGCCCCTCCTCTGCTCATGCTTTCTCTCACTCTCAAAATAAATAAACTTAAAAAAAAATGCTTGATGCCAAAAATGCAAACAATGTATGAACCTATTCATGTACTGTTCTCAAAATGACAAAACTGGAGATATGAAGAACAAATTAGCAGTTGTCAGGGGCAAAGGAGGATGAGAGGGAGAGCTATAGGCACAACTACAAAGAAATAGCCTGGTGGGGCGCCTGGGTGGCTCAGTCAGTTGAGTGCCCGACTTTAGCTCAGGTCATGATCTCACGGTTTGTGAATTCGAGCCCCGCATCAGGCTCTGTGCTGACAGCTCAGAGCCTGGAGCCTGCTTCGGATTCTGTGCGTCCTCTCTCTGCCCCTCGCCCACATGTGCTCTATCTCTGTCTCTTAAAAATAAATAAATGTAAAAAAATTAAAAAAAAAAAAAAAAAGCCTGGAAACAAAAAAACAAATAGCCTGGGGCAGCTGGCTTGCTCAGTTGGTAGAACAAGCAACTCTTGATCTCAGGGTCATGAGTTCAGGCCCTACATTGGGCCTGGACCCTACTTAAAATAAATAAATAATTTTAAAAATTAGCCTAACGGAGATTTTTGTAGAGATGGAATAGTTCTATATCTTGATTATGGTGATAGTTGTATTAACAATATGTGATAAAATGATACAGAACTATACACACACCTTGTACCAATGTGAATTTCCTAGTTTTGATATTGTGATATAGTTATATAAGATGTACACATTGGGAAAAACTGGGTGAAGTGTACATGATACCTCTCCATACTATTTCTGCAAATTGCTATGAATCTATAATCAATTGGAGATAAAAGTTTCTTGAAAATAGATGTTTCTCACAGCTAACATCATACTTAATGGTGAAAGACTGAAAGCTTTTCCCCTAAAGCTCAGGATTAAGAAAATATGTCCGCTCTTGCTACTTCTATTCAACACTGTACTGGAAATTCTAGGACAAATAGGACAGGACAATTGGGAAAAAATAATAATAAAAGACATCCAGATTGAAAAGGAAAAAGTAAAGCCATCTTTATTGCCAAAATATGACCTTATATATAGAAAATACTTTAAAGAATTCATACAAGGGGTGCCTGGGTGGCTCAGTTGGTTAACCATCAGACTTCAGCTCAGGTCATGATCTCACAGCTCGTGAGTTCAAGCCCTGTGTCAAGCTCTCTGCTCTCATCACAGAGCCCGCTTTGGATCCTCTATCTCCCTGTCTCGCTGCCCCTCCCTCCCTCTCTCTCTTTTTCTCTCTCAAAATAAACAAATATTTAAAAAATTAATTTTTAGGGGCGCCTGGGTGGTTCAGTCAGTTAAGCATCCCACTTCAGCTCAGGTCATTGTCTCATGGTTCATGAATTCGAGCCCCACATCAGGTTCTGTGCTGACAGCTCAGAGCCTGGAGCCTGCTTTAGATTCTGTCTCTCTCTCTGACCCTGACCTGCTCCTGCTCTGTCTCTGTCTCTTAAAAATAGTAAGTGTTAAAAAAAATTAATTTTTAGGAAAGACTGAACCCTAAAAACATTATGCTCAAAGAATCCAGACACAAGAAGCCATGTACTATATGATTCCATTTACATGAAATGTCCAGAATAAGCAAATATATAGACAAAGAAAGTAGATTAGCTGTTTCCAGGGCTGCGTTAGGGAGGTGGGGAAGTTGGTAGTCACTGTTAATTGGCAGGGGTTTCTTTTCATAGTGAAAAAAATATTCTGAAACTAGACAGTGGTAATGATTGTACAGTACTGTATATATACTAAAAACCACTGAACTGTATACTTTTAAATAGTTAATTTTATGTTATGTAAAATTTATTTCAATAAAAATATATGCTTGATGATAGAAACCAGATACGTGCATAGTCTGAAACCATCTCCCTCCAAATATTTAATAATTACGAAGGGAAAAATATTGTTTCCATTAGAGAATCCTGACAGATACCACCTTAGCCAAATGATCAAGGTCAACATCACCAGTAAAATATATCAACATCACAGATACCCTAATATGATGCACTGAGGAGGGCACATTCACTTCTGTGGTATCCTTCCCCAAAAATGCAAAGCCTTAATATAATCTTGAGAAAATAGACAAACTCAAATTGAGGAACATTACATAAAATGACTATTCAGTACTCTTTAAAGGTGCTAAAGGTTATGGGGCGCCTGGGTGGCTCAGTCAGTTAAGTATCTGACTTCAGCTCAGGTCATGATCTCAAGGTTCACGAGTCAGAGCCCTGCATCAGACTCTGTGATGACAGCTCAGCACCTAGAGCCCACCTCAGATTCTGTGTCTCCCTCTCTTGCTGCCTCTCCCCCCCCACCCCCGCTCATACTCATTCTCTCTCAAAAATAAATAAAAATCATTTAAAAAAAAGTGCCAAGGTTATGAAAGACTAAGGAACTGTCACAGACTGGAGGAGACTACAGAAACACGGCTATTAAATGCATTGTGCAATCCTAAACTGGATACTGGAACAGAAGAAGGATATTAGAGAAAAGAAACAGTGAAATCCTAATCAAGTCTGTACTTTAGTTAATATTATTCTACCAAGGTTAATTTCTTTGTTTGATAAGTGTTCTATGGTTATGTATGGTATTAACACAATAGGAAGCTATGTGAATGACACGTATATCAGAATTCTCTGTATTATTTTTGCAACTCTTCTGTAAGCCCAAAATGTTTTCAAAACTTAAAATAAAGCTAACTGTTAAGAAATTCTCTATCAAGTTAAAACATTTAATAAAAGTGCTGAGAGATAAAATTTTCCAAGTTTCCCAGAAAACAGAATAAAATTCTAGACTTATAGGCTAATACACTTGTCTGTGCTGTGAAAAAAGCCTCCCCTCATTTGGAGAAGAAATAAGCTTGTAAATAAAATATTGTTTCTCAAGCATGGTACCACAAAACCTAGTCATTTTAACTCCAAAAAGATAACTAATGAAAAGGAAGAGAAAAGAATGAAATGTCGTATAAAAGATGTTAGATCTTTCAGTTTGTCCGAAGAAAATGTATGCTGGGCATTTATAACTCTACTTGACTAGCTTCAGTACTTACTTAGAAATGTTCTAATTTCTGACTCTATATCCTTAAATCAAATTAAAATCTTGATAGATGAATGGATAAAGATCGGGGGGTGGGGGCGTACCTGGCTGGCTTAGCCAGCAGAACATGGCACTCTTGATCTCGGGGTTATAAGTTCGAGCTCTACAATGGGTGAGATTACTTAAAAAAATCTTTAAATCTTAATTTAAAAAAAAAAAGGAAAAGAAGATGTGGTATATACATGAAATGGAGTATTATTCAGTCATAAAAAAGAATGAAATCATGGGGCACCTGGGTGGCTCAGTCAGTGTCTGACCTCAGCTCAGGTCATGATCTCACAGTCTGAGTTCGAGCCCCATGTTGGGCTCTGTGCTGACAGCTCACAGCCTGGAGCCTGCTTCAGATTCTGGGACTCCTTCTCTCTCTGCCCCTCTGCCTCTCACGCTCGCTCGCTCTCTCTCTCTCTCTCTCTCTCAAAAATAAACATTAAAAAAAATTTTTTTTAAAAAAGAATGAAATCTCGCCATTTGCAGTAACATGGATGGAGCTAGTGAGTATAATGCTAAGTGAAGTCAGTCAGAGAAAGACACATACCATATGATTTCACTCACATGCAGAATTTAAAAAACAAAACAAATAAGCACAGAAAAAAAAAGAGACAGATAAACCAAACAACAGATTCTTAACTATAAAGAACAAACAGATGGTTGCCAGAGGAGAGGTGGGTAGTGGGATAGGTAAAATAAGTGAAGGGGATTAAGAGTACACTTATGATGAGCACTGAGTAGTATACAGAATTGTTGAATCACTATATTGTACACCTGAAACTAATATAACATTGTATGGTAACTATATTGGAATTAAAATTAAAAACAAAAAAAAACTTTAAAATAAATTAAAAAATAAAAATCTACTTTAGCCTCATATACTGAGAATCTTATAGTCAAAGAGGCCAAAGAAATAATCTAATCCATTGGTTCTCAAAATGCCAGTCTGAACCAATAGCATCTCTAGGAAACCGTGTTAGACATGCCAATTCCTTACTCCACTCCAAAACTTCTGAATCAGAAACTCTAGTGATGGAGCCCTGCAATGGAGTTTTAACAACTCTCCAGGCAATTCTGATATAGGCTAAAGGTTGAGAATCTCGGGCCTTATTGAATTCCCTCACTTAGAGGCAATTTGCTTACAATCACAAGGTGTCTTAGAAGCAGCCACGTCTAAAATTTAAGCTTTCAATCCCCAATCCAATGCACTAATGACTTAACCCATGAGTTCCCATCAAGGTCCTAGTTCTTATCTCTGAGACAACAAAGCATAAATTGAATTCCTATTTCAAAAGAACACCACCACAATTATCCTATCTTTCTCTACCATCACTTTCTGTTCCATCAACTTTTTGACATGTGGTATGGTTTCATCTTGTCTTGCACAAAATATGTCACTTTAAATGAAGTACAACACCCTGATAGGTAATAGAAGCCCCAAAATTAGATGCCTAATTTCTTAAACTGATTCAAACTATTATTTTAAATAGAACTAATAAGGTTTTTTTCCATGTATCTTCTCTACTCCATCATTTTTCCCCTTGTTGTATTTAGAGGAAATATTCAGCTATATTAATCAATTAATGATAATTTTCCTGCCCTGATATCAAGGGTCACTCAAACGCCATACGTCCCACAGGCCAAGTTCTTCTGGCACATTGTGCGTAAATATGTAAAAATGAGCAAGACACCATAAAGCATGAGTAAACCCAAAAATATTTACAAAAAACTGAGAGGAAGAAAAAGGGAAACAGAATGAAAATTAAGTCAATCCTCTCCTGGACAAATCAAAACCAAGAGCAAAATTAACCAAGGAAGTAATCTGTTAAGCATTTAAAAAATAAAATTTCAATTAAATATACATAGACCCTGGACTGTGTAAACTTATCAGAACTTCAAACTGTAAAATAAGAAAAACTTGAATAAGCTAGTAATTAAATTCTTACCAGGCCTACTGTGGTATCTTCATCACTGTCTAGATTCTGAATGCTTTCCATATCAACACTGGGAATCACTGTATCTGAAGTGCTCTTGTGTTGTCGCTTGTTACTTTCAGTACAAACATCTAAGGATGATTTTTGCAAGGTGGATTCTGTCTTGGAGGATGTGGCTTCCATCTTTGGAGTTAAAAGCCTCCTGCAAGTTTTCCTTATTTCAGTCTTCTTACATTTCTTACATACAAATTCATTGTTAGAATTCTTATTCAATAGGGATTTGGGGTGCTTAAATTGGTCTGACTTATAATTACTGAGTGAAAACGGGACAAGATACACCTTAGGTGTTTTTCCTAAAACTGTAGTCTGTACTGGTCTCAGAGATACACAAGTGATGTTTTGGTTTTCTTTATATTCATTCACCTATTTGGGTCAATAAAAGAAAGCAGAGCATTAAAACCCCAGATCCTATGCCTCCTCTTACAGATCTGTGTAAAATAAATCTAATTCTTAATTCCTGATGAAAATATAAATCCAAACTGTTAGCTTGTAAGGAAACTTTTTTCCCCACCATAATCTGAATACCCAATTCATAGCCTGAATTTAATTATTATACTGGGCGCATTTCTTACCCATGAGTCTGCAGACATATAACAATATAATAAGTACATCTATAACTGAGGAGACTATGGCAACTGTCAGTTTCTGAGTAACTGGAATTTCCAGAGAAGCCGGCATTAACTGCTTCAAAATCAAGTGCAGGGTCCCTGATCCCACTCTGCCCCTATTTTGGGGGTCATTGGTAAAAACCTTCCTCAACACTGAAGGTCTAGTTTCCATAGAGGAAAATCAGGGCAGGTATCCTCAATTATCTTTTGAAGCAACACCCCGAAAAACCCATTAGTTGAGAGATGCCCCAAGGAGCAATTTTGAAAATAGTTCTGGAGTGCGAAGGTGGAAGGTGCCAAATCCTCGTGTCCTCCCAGGCCTGTGCCCGGCAATCCCTCGCGAACACTGAGGCAGGAGTACAGCCGAGAACAACAGACGTTTCTCACCTTCACCTGGAGTCGCTGTCTGGAGCCCGCCTTTTCTTCGCTGGCTGAGCGCGACCCCATCTTTTCGCGGCTTAGCAGCGGGCGTCTTCCCGCCAAGATCTCGGCGGGAGGTGCTGGCAGGGGGTAGAGGAGGAGCAGCGGGGCGGGGACGGGAGCGGGGGCGGGGGCGGGCCCTGGCGGGCTACGCAGACCGGCTCTGACGCCAGCTGGCCGATGGAGGGGCCTCCGCGCACGGGCATTACGGTGGTCTCTATACATGTCAAGCTCACCAGCCTCAATCAAAACTCAAATTCTTTAGGGATGCGATTGGACTGAATCCACATTTTTACCTTTGATCCCGGGATTTTTGATGCTGCTGATGCCAGTATCTCGCTTTGAAAAACAATGGCGCTTCTGCGCCACCTTGGAAAAACCACCTTGCCTGGCAATGGGAGCCTGGAAAAGATTCAGACGCACTTATGGATAGAGAGCGGGGAAAATCGAAATCAACATGCACCCTTTACCTGGGCTCCCTGGTTCTTTATAACCCCAACACGAGAAAATTATGCCATATGGCTACCATACTACCTTCTTCCTAGGAAGGGAAGTATTTTGATTTTTTTTCAAGAGTTGATAAACTGATTTAAATTTTACTTGATCATATGCCCACCAATTAACTGAGATCCTAATAATGACCGTATAAAGCCCAAAGGCTTGGGAAAGGTTGTGAAATCATTTTTGTATCACAAAGTAACATAAATAAGATTTTAGTGCCCTGTAATTTTTAGTTACAGCCATATTAACCCCCGCCCCGGGTTGCCATGAGTCAAAACAATTGGTTTCCCATCAGATTTACTCTGGACAGCACGGTTTTGGAGCTGTTAAATTCAAAATATAAATTTCTATGTACTCTATTTTTAAGATCCTTATCTAGCCCAAAATTACTTCCCTGGTTGGTTACCTGGGCCCTCCATTGTTCCTGGCTCCAGATTTGCCCAATTTTATTTACTCTCCCAGCCTAGACCCAATAACACAGGTGAAATAATTTGAGAACTAATCCTATTAACATTAACTTTAGGGCCTTCCATGATGTAGTTCCTGCCAAACTTTCACCACTGCTTGACTCAAAACTTACTAATAAACTTTTCATAGTTTATACTTTCATAGTTTCCTTAGTAATAAAAATTATTCATACTTTTCAGTGTTTGATATGTACCAAAATATCTCTGAATTTCAAGACTGTACATGCTGTGCCATCTCTCCCTACCACAGCATTTATAAAATCCTTTCTATGGTGAAATGTATTCTGACTTACAATCACCCAATATTTTTTACAAACCCAGCTAGTAAATTACTATTTGTTACGATTCTGTATGCACTGTAAGAATTCCCTAACAAAACTTAAACCTTTAGACAATGCTCCATACTCCTTAGGGAGCTAAGCACGGTAAACACATCAAGTACTTTATAAATACTTATGGACTTAAATACACTGTCTAGCCAGGAATGTTTTAATGGACGGTCTTGAGAAATTGAAAAAACTGTTAAGCCTGAAAGTACACTGTTCTGACCTCAGACATCGCTCCAGGCCCCTTGGAGGATTTTTTTTTTTAATGGCAATGGCCTAAATCACCACCACCTGCCCTCGCGGGACCAAAAAATATCCCACCACAATTCACTCGGCTTCATCGACTGAGCTAATCAGGTGCTATTAGCAGGGCTTCTATGCTCCTTAAACTCCAATTCTGAATTGTCAACAATATGGACAAACTGCCCTTCACTATCTGCTCAACTTCTTATTGATCACTATCCCATTTTCCTCAGCTTCAAACCAACTTAAGAGGGACCCCTTAATTCGGACCTTCCTCGCCACAGGAGCTTAACAGCAAATCCCAACGGGAAGCAATTTCCCGCCGGAAGTTCCGTCCAAACACTGCGAGACTGAGGAAGCTAGAGAAGCCTGTGAACATGCGCAATAACAGACTCGGCCTTCTAGTGGGAGACGCCCACAATCCCACAATCCTCTAGTCGCGTATTTCCGGTTTTTCTAACTCCGCCGTAAGTTGCGTTTTTATCTGTCGCACAGCCGTGTCCAGCGCCTCTAGGAGAAGTGGGCTTTTCTGTTCGTTGACGTTGTCGCCGTTCACTGTTTGGAATCACTGAAGTCTCGGGAGTCACCGCCGCTGCCATCAACATGTCGGTCCCAAGCGCCCTCATGAAACAACCGCCCATTCAGTCTACGGCTGGGGCCGTCCCAGTTCGCAATGAGAAAGGTACTGTGCTGAGCCGTTTTCCAGTCGGATCTTACCTCTTTCCTCAGCATACTTCAAACCTACCTAGACAGACCACCCCAACCCCACCAACCCTTAATATTACCCTGCCCCGTGTTTCTTCGACTTTTCTCATCAAACTCGCCCCTAATCGCTTTGCTTAAAGGAAAAAAAAAACCTACTTTCATCTCATCTTGTTCATATTGCCTGTCTTCTGCCCTCACAACAAGCATCCCTCCCTTCTTTCCTTGGACTCCACGTATAAATTATACTAATATACATAGTGAATGCCTGCTTTTGCAGAGCGTCGTGCGGGATACAGCCCCTTTTTTGTTAAATATAGCCGTCTGTTTATGCTGCTTTTATAATTAACATTATTTTATGTGTCTGTCTCCCTCTACTGCATCCAAGCTCATAACATCCTTGAGACAGGAACCAGGTCTTATTACACTTTTTATTCCTTTCAACCTACGCAGTGACTGTATTAAATTGAATACAAACTTGTGTAAGGCAGTATTAAGAAATTCATATTGTAGATGCGAGCATGTAAAAAGAGGCACATTCTAAGCAGTGTGCAGTTTTTCACAACTGTGATTCCTGTCACATAGGTGATATAAACCAAACGATGTGGAAGGGCAGAGAAGGAATAATCTCTTCCAATTGGTGTAATCAAGGAAAGCTTCTTGAAGAAGGTAGCATATAAGTTGATCCTTAAAGGATGAATAGGATTCCAGGGCAGATAGAAGAAGGAACACTATTATCTGTTTGGGGAGTTAAACTAAAGAGTATTTTTTCAAGGAGGATTTTGGAAAATAGTATCAGCTCTTTTTTTTAATTTTTTTTAATGTTTATTTTTTTGAGAGAGAGAGACTTAGTGCAAGGAGGGGAGGAGCAGAGAGTGGGAGACCCAGAATCAGAAGCAGGCTCCAGGCTCTGAGCTGTCAGTACAGAGTCCGACGTGGCCTTAACCCACGGACCGTGAGATCATGACCTGAGCCGAAGTCAGGAGCTCAAGTGACTGAGCCATCCAGGCACCCCTCTTTTTTGTATTTTAAATAAACTGTACCTACCCTTGTGCAGCTTGTCTTTATTTTTTAATTCAACGTGGCTTTTGACAAGTATGCTTTGATAAATACAGATCTAATTCATTTTAACTACTTAAGAATTCCATTGTGTAATTAGGCCAGTTTATTCCCTACTGAGGGGCAGTTAGTTGTTTTTTTCTCCTGTTACAAACAGCGCTGTAGTTGTCATACTTTTTTTTTTTTAATTTTAATTTTTTAAATAATCTCTCACCCAACGTTGCCCTCAAACTCACGACTCCAAGATGAAGTCTCATGCTCCACTGACTGAGCCAGCTAGGCACCCCCTGTAGTTGTCATTCTTAAACGTGTCTCTTTAGTGCACTGTGTAAGAATTTCTCTAGGGTAGACTCCTAGAAGTTCATCATCAGTATAACTAGCTATTTTCTTCCTAAGTTGATTAATTTATTTTGAGAGAGGGGGAAGGGCAAAGAGATGGGGAGAAAGAAAATCTCAAACAAGCTCCGCACTGTCCGTGCAGAGCGAAACGTGGGGCTTGAACTCAGAAACCGTGAGATCACAACGTGAGTTGACGTCAAGAGTTGGACACAACCAACTGAGCCACCCAGGTGCCCTGTAACTGGCCATTTCCAGTTGCTCTCCACGTGGGTTGTAAGAGCATTAAGAGTTTGTATTTCCCCATATATTCATCAATACACTTGATCGTATCAGGTTTTTTTTAATTTTGCCCATTCCAATGGGTATGAAATGATATCTCATTATTTTAATTTGCATTTCCCTAATTACTCACAAGGCAAGGCATCTTCATATATTTATCAGTTCTCTAGGTTTTCTCTTCTCTGAATTACTTGTTTCTGTCATTTACCTATTTTCTACTTGGTTTGTTTTTCTATATCCCAAGTCTGTTATATCTGTTTCCCATTTTGTTTTGGTTTTTTGGCTTGTCTTTTCACTTTAATTTTGGACTTTTCTGTTTCATAGGCATTTTTAATTTTAGTGTTATCATATTTACCAACTTTATCTTTTATAGCTTGTGATGTTTGTATATTGTGTAAGAAATCCTTCCCTGTACTGAGATTATAGATATTCAAATTATATATATATTTTAATGTTTTTATTATTTTGAGAGAGAGAGACAGTGCAAGCAGAGGAGGGGGAGAGAGAGAATCCCGTGATGTCACTGCAGAGCCTGACATGGGGCTTGATCCCACAAACCGAACATGAGATCATGGCCTGAGCTGAAATCAAAAGTCGGACACCCAGACGCCCCTAAAAATATTTTCTATCATCTAAGTGTTTGTATATACTAAATAGGATTAAATACACAATTGTGCAAGACAGACTGTAATTTAAAGAGCTTATTCAATAGGCATGTAAATGTTTAAGATAGGTTTTTCACACTTGGGTCTTAATCCATCTGGAATTTTGTGTGTGTGGTGTCAGAGATATAATTTTACTGTTTACCTTATGGTTAACCAGTTGTCCCTACTGCTCCATTGTTTGACTAGCCCATCCATTCTCCACTGCATTTTAATGTCGCTTCTGTAATATACCAAGCTCTTGTATGTAGGTTTGTCTGCTTTCTCAACGTTTATTTATTTTTGGGACAGAGAGAGACAGAGCATGAACGGGGGAGGGGCAGAGAGAGAGGGAGGCACAGAATCGGAAACAGGCTCCAGGCTCTGAGCCATCAGCCCAGAGCCTGACGCGGGGCTCGAGCTCACAGACCGCGAGATCGTGACCTGGCTGAAGTCGGACACTCAACCGACTGCGCCACCCAGGCGCCCCAGGTTTGTCTGCTTTCTAATCTGCTCCATTGGTCTCTATGTATCCTCTGAGTCAATGACATATTGTTTCAATTACTGTAAGTTGTTTTTTTTTAATTACTGTAAGTTTAAATAAGCCTTGCAATCTGATACAAAAACCCTCCCCACTTCACCATTTTTTTCATTAAAACTTTATTTTTTTAGATCAGTTTTAGGTTCACGTTTCCCATATACCCTCTGCCCCCACACAGGCACA